AGTTCGCCAATGACATAGACAGCATCACATAAAACTTTTTTAGACACACCACTTTCATCTCCCCCAACATATTTCATATTTTTTAACAGTTCTTTCATTTTAGATATAGTCAATGGTTCAAAAAAGGAAAATTCAGTATCAAGAGGTATCACCTGGGAGTTTCGTTGATATGGTAGTTTGGGTATACTTTCTATTATCATATTTATACTTTTAATGAAGTAGTTGTTAAATTGTTCTACAATTTCTCTGGCATCCTCCAAAGTTTTTGAGCCAAAAACTATTTCATTTGGTAGTGTCTGACGTTTACCTGGTAGTATTGTCTTAATATTTTTCCAGAGTTCACGTGAATTATTTTTGTTCTATCACTTGTTTAAAATGCTTTTCTTTATTAATTCTTATTTGACTAACTATATCATTTCTAACATTTTTGTATTCATTCCAAATATCAACATTGCTATTTAGCACTGCTCTTTTATACAAATTGTCTCTGTTTTTCATCATATTCTTTATATCCGTTGTGATCCATTTTTTTTCCAAATATTTTTGCTTAGCAATAGTTAGTACTTTGGGGCATTTTGTATCTAGGTATCTTGAGATACTTTTAACAAACAAATTCGCCATAATGTTTACATCAGAGATGCTACCATCCCATACAGAGTTTCTTAGGCATTCATGGAATTCATCTACATTATAATTTTTTATTAACCTCTGGTGTAAACTTATTGTACTATTATTCAGAAAACCATCCTCAACATTTACCGATAAAATAGAATGATCACTAATCCTTGAGTGTGTACAATGTGTTTGTTGTTAGTAATAATAAAGTCAATCAAAGTAGAACTATTTATTGTTACACGTGTTGCAGTATTTACTATTTGATAAAGACCCGCTTGATATACTTTGTTCATTAATTTATAACCCTAAAATGAATTCTTAAGCAAGTCAAAATTAAAATCACCAAAAATGATGTTGGTTCCTGGAAAATCATTGACCTCATCCAAGTACTCACTAAAAAAGTTAACAAAATCAACATTCTGGGTTTGTGGGGGGTGATATAAAACCGTGCACAAATTTTTGTTTTTACATAGGAGAATTCAACAGACAATAACCATACATAGTTTTCACCGCACTGTATAGTATTTACTTTCACACGATTGAATGTCATCGGATACACGTGTTTCCGACAGCAACAACAATTTAGGCTTGTTTATGAGTATTTCAATGTGGTGTTTATTATTCAAGTAGCCCTGACAGTTTAAATAAACAATACTCGAATTTAGAACAATTTTACTATCTAATTGCTACTTGGTGTATTTGTTTCTTTGAATATTTTCAATTTTCTTGTATGTTTCACAGGTTTGTATGTTCCATGTTGGGTGATTTGTATTAAGATTAAGCCCATACTTTTCATTTGACAGTACACAGAATCCAATAAAAAAGAAGTAATTGGTTTGAATGTGTTTTGGCGCTATGAATCACCAATTCATTCCAGTTGAATTTCTATTGGTAATTTCCAATGAAGTCAGCGGCTTGAATTGGAAAATACCAATCCATGCCTATGCTTGTCTCTATTGGCTAAATCCAATAGAAATGCACATGGAATGAATTGGTAATTCATAGCGCCAAACCCATTCCAACCAATTAAAACCAATTAGTTTTTTAAAATTTGGATTAGAAAATACCTACCAGTTTATTTTTCATTCAAAAATAATTTTAGATCCCAGAAGGATAACCGGGTAAAAACCAGAATTCATTTTTCACAGAAGAGACAAAAAATTTATTGTTACTGAGTAATTTTATTTCTTTATTTTTTTTTTTGTGATATATGTATGTATACATACATATAACATACTATCACAAAAAAAGTAATACAAAATAAATATAATTATTCGGTTATAATAATTTTTTTTATCTTTCTTGCAAAGGATGTTTGTAGGCATGGTCGAAGTCGATATTGTTTATGTCAATATTTTTTATTTTGTCCGCTGTGACATTCTTACGCCATCGTCCCTAAACCTTACACATATAAACATTTTTTTAATTTATAAGTACACTACTAACACCAGGCACTTAACACTAAAATCGATCGACTAATAAAAAAACCGCTAATAATTGGCGTCCAAAGACTTGTTGTTGTTTTTTCTTTATGATGGCGTCTCAACCTCGTTGATTTTGCGCAGTTACACGAGAGCCCTCTTGCGATATTTGTATTGTATTGGAAATAACCAATTAGCAGATTTTTCTAATCTTACACTGGGAATGCCCAATTGAATTCAATTCTAAATTACCTATAGGTAGCTTTATCCAATCGAAACCAATAAAAACCATTAGAATCCTAATTGGACTTCTCCATCATGGAAAATACCAGTAAAAACCAATGTCTGTTTTATATTGCGCCCAATTAAATCCAGTAAGTCCAATTTAGACCCATTGATACCAACCAATACTTCAATTGGTTTCTACAGGAATTAATCGGTCATTTACAACAGGGTAACAACTTCGCTCGTACATACATTTATGTCATGATCACACCCACAATTGGGACACACTCTATTGTTTTTACAATCTTTGGCCAAATGGCCATACCGGCAACATTTATAGCACCTTATTATTCCGAATTCATCAAATACCATACATCTATTCCATCCTATGTTCAATTTCCATAACCTTATTATATGTGTTTGTATCTAATTCCAGAACTAGGTTACACTTCTTCTTCACAACTTTGCTCTTATGAATTATATTCAATTTCAGGTTGGAGCATTCTTCGATATCATTTTGCTTTTTGATCATCGAAATAAGAACTTCCTCGGTGTTTTTTGATTCACATTCATTGATTCCTACCATCTTTATCCTATGCTCTAGTAGGTACTTTATCTACGACTACTTAAGAATAGTAACATTCTAGTGTAATTTTTAATCATAGAAAGGATGTTTTTCTGCAATACTGTGCGAGAATATTCCTACTCTTGTTTAAGAATGGTCACAAGTAACGACATCTCCTGGCTGTTTACTAAACGTAAAAAATTTAAAAATATTTAGATATTACTGTATTATTTATTAATTAAAAAATAATAGCAGTTGTATAATTAAGGTTTAGGCACAAAAAATTAGTTATATTTATTGTTTTTCAAATATACAAATCAAAATTATAATAAATTTGATATTAAAATGATAAACCAGTTACCTACTATACCGGCTTTGAAGTTTTGACAGATTCAAAAAGTATAAAAAAAGACCTTTAAAATGTAGAAAAAGAATAGATGTTGACATCTTAGTTTTTTTCTTCTAAGATTACTTGTAAAATTAGTTTTGTATTTGTTACAATGTTATTTTTTTTATTACAGTATTGTAGTTAGTGTAAATAACTATTTTTAATTATAATAAAGATTTAGGCATACCATTTGTTTAAATTTATTATAATTTACATTATAAAATTGTGACGGCACAAAATGGTTTGACAATACAAAAAACTTAAATGTCAAAAACTGCTTGGTTTCTTTTCTCTGTTTAAAATTATATAAGCGTTACTATTCTTACGTAGTCGTAGAGAAAATAATGTCTGAAACACGTTTGGAATAGCATATTCAACTCTCGTAAAACCGTCACACTCGCCTTCGGCTCGTGTGTCAAATTTTTCCTCGAGCGGAATATGCTGTATTCCAAACTTGTTACAGAATGTACTATTAGGTCTGTTTACATCGTATTCTTCTCCCAGTTGGTTTTGAATCTCCACTTGTAGACTTTCGATGTCTTTGCCATTACCACAATTGAGAGAAAATTTCTATATTGTTCTTGTCCTTGTGTTATCCATGGCTTTATTTTTCTGTTTTTACTATTAATGACTTTAGATTTAGTGTTATTTTTAATATACATATTTTTGCACAAATATGTCATATCCCTTTTCAGGATCTTGTTCATCTAAAACTTCTGCAGATTCTACAGATTTGTAAAAGTTATTTAAATTTGTAATATATAAGTAGCTAGGTTTCTGATTATTTTTAATTTGTTCCGAGAAGCTAAAATTTATAAAAAGTATATGATTTTATGATACACGATGTTATTATGCTTTCTTGATTTGGTCTGACAAATGCAATGATCTTTTTAATCTTGGTGGGGTTATTAATGTAAGATATGAATTCAAATTCAAAAGGTAACTTTCCAGTTGGGTTATGTAAAGATCTACATCAGTAGATAATGGCCTATATGAAGCAGTGACGCCAAATGTAATGTTATTCATGGAAAAAGTAAATCTTATTAGTTTGGTTTCCGTACAATCTATCGTAAGTTTAGAGTGTTAACCTACTTAGGATTTATGGTCACGTCCATTGGTCGGATATGCTTGTTTATAATTTTAAGTCGAACTTGCTTTTATGATTATGCATTATGGTTCATTATTCCCTGATCACCTCTTTTAATAAATGTTTTTTTAATGTATTTTTGTTGTTCCTACGGAATTTTCTACGTGAGAGGGTTTTCGGAATTACGAGTTTTTAGTATTGCGAATAGCGTCATGCAAATATTATTAAAATACTTATGCATATTTCGCCTTGTTTCCTCGTAATTGATCTCTTTCAGGTTCCCGCCTATTCAGGGGTGATACAATACACTTTTTAGTCCTGGTCAGTGAGGTGTTTATTCACATTGGGATTAGCGGAACTATAAACTGTTGTCCGAAACCTTATAGAAAAATTAGCTTTTAGATATTCTGGATTTAAAATGCACTATGGTTACATTTTTGTATCGTTTGTGGAGCGAACAGATATACGTCTGACGGTACAAGTGATATGTACTGTCGAACTGAAGTAGGTACACGTGTAATGTGAGTATTAAATAAAAAAATTCGCTGTGGAATAAAAATTTTGCTGTGAAATAAAAAAATCGAGATTCGAATGTATAAATATAATTTTTTAACTATTATCTTGTTTAAAGTTAAAAGTTGAGATTTTCTAAATATAAATTTGCGTTTTTTTTTTTAATACTGTATAAGATATACTTACAATTACAACTTGGGCACTTAATTTAGAATTATCTTCTGTCATAATCTGTTTGTCCCTTTCATGTCTCCGTTTTAATTCAAAAATAGTCTGTTCTGTATCCGTGGCATTTTCCAATCTACCTTTTTCCATGTTTTCTTTTAATAATTTTACCTGAGAATAAAAAATCTAATAAAAAACTACATCATAAAAAATGTATCATTAATGATTTATTAAGCTTACTACCTATGTAAAAAATAAGAAATGTTACTTCGACCACAACAAATTTTAAATTTAAATGAAAAACGCAGTCTTATAATAAAGGGGTTTTTATGCTATACATTGTATTTTCAACTAAATAAATTATAAATTATAATTACATTTTTAAGTTAGAAGTTCCTGTTTTAAGTAAATTAAAGATTAGGGTGACCGCAAAAAATCGATGTCGCAATTTTGTTCGTCTGGACCCCACAAAACGATTCCCCTTTCCAGATATTGAGATAGACGAAATTTGAGCTCGATTAAACTACGTTAACCCGTGCCGCTCGTCGCTCAAAGGAAGCTAATGTTGTTCTTTAAAATTTATATTCTATACATAATTGTTGTTATTTTAAGTCAAACAGAGTTACAACAGCCTTTGACCCCAAAAACGTGCCCTGGCAGCATTAGGAGCCAGTTTGGGTGTATTTTAAGAGTTTTACCGGTTTTTACATAATGTGTCTCGGAATTAACATTTTTTATTAAAAACTATTTTGGAACTTAATTTTCAAACAAAAAGAGCCTTTTTTCAAATATAGTCAGACTAATAGTCAGGTAATCTCCATATAATAAAAGATTAAATTTAAACAAAAGGCTCTTTAAAATTATTTTTACTATTTGCTCCAAAAATTATTATTTAGTTTTACTTGTGTGTATTTTACTAAATAAAGGTAAAGGTTAAGTTTTAACAAAAAATCAGGTAGGTAATTATATTTAATTTATACAATTATTTGCATTAATCCTTTTAGGAAAATATAAGACGGCCTATAGAGTGGTATGCTTATGTTTTACGGATAAAATGGCATCCACATCAGGTGTACAAAGCCGAACCAAGGATAAAATATTTCTTGTGGGCTATCCCATTCACCAAATCACCGGTTGTAAACTACCCTCAAATCGTCAAGTTTTGTGTGTTTTATTTTATAATATACGTGCTGTAAAATTAACTGTAAGAGAATCAGCAAAACTTGCCATACGAGAAGTGTTCATTTTTTGGGAGAAAGGACGAATTCCGACTAAACATGAGCAAGATGCAATTACTAAGCTGGAAAAACTTTACGCCGAGTGGAGAACTCTTCAAAAAGACCGGAAGAAAACATCGGAAACGGCTAAGAACAAATTTAAACAGTTCGTTGAAAAGTTGGATGATCTCTTTGATATTGCTCAGCAAGATGCCTTGGCTCTGATGAAATCGGAAGAAGATAAGGCATTTCTCGTGAAACAGAGGCAGAAGGGCCGTCCAGGTTCCATGACTGGAGTGGATCTCAAGTTGTCTCGAGCTGAAGAAATCAAGGGGCAAAAGGAACTTGCAAAAATGAACCGACAAATCCAAGAAGGTATTTGAATGCAGAGTTGGTGGGATTATCTTTTTTTGATCCCACCATTACAGACGATGAAAAGTTGTTAATGGCTAATAAATTGGTCAGTAGCATAGATGAACCATCAGAGCACGCTAGGATTGTAAATCCAAAAGTTAAGAAAGAACAATTAAAAGAGGTAGTTGATGGAGGATTGGTAAATTTACTTACCAAAGAAACATTTACATTCTTTAACCGATTTAATATAAAAACAGATTTCCTAAGACAACATCCAAACACCTGGCCTCAAAATAATGACTTCCAAGAAGGATTGAAAATTGTCAAAACATTAAAGGTAGTTAAGGATATGGCTGAGCGTGGTGTTAAATTAATAACCGACTTTAACAACCTTCTGACTAAAGATGAAGGCCAAAAGCAATATGTCCTGCAAGTTGTAAGCAAATGCCGAGCATTATATTCTGACGTTTCAAAAACTACTTTAACAAAAGCTCTAGAATAGATTAGATAACTATGTAAAATCAACTCATGTAGTTACTACGTCTGTATCTTTTCTGTGTCTGTTTTGTATGTATACCTAATTTTTATATAAAAAATGTCATTAGATTTATCAGTATTACTTGTTTTTTTATTATACTTCTACTTTAAACTCAAAAATATACCAAAAAAAGCAAAATTTATCACTTAATAACAAAATATACGAAGTATGCTCCTAGTGGTACCAGGTCATGTTTTTGGGGCTAAAGGCTGTTGTAACTCGGTTTGACTTAAAATAACAACAATTATGTATAGATTACAAATGTTTAAGAACAACATTAGCTTTCTTTTGAGATATTAAGCGTATTTTTATTATTTACCGTTCTGGAGTTATGGCTCCATATGTCAGCTTTTTGGCCAAAAATTTGGATTTTTTCAAACTTTGAGCGATAAGCGGCGCGGGCTAACGTCGTTTAATCGAGCTCAAATTTCGGCTAACTCAATATCTGGAAAGGGGAATCGTTTTGTGGGGTCCAGACGAACAAAACTCCGACATTTTTTTCCACCCCCTATAAGTTGCGGTCACCCTATTAAAGATATATCATTGCACCATTAACATGCGATAGCCCAGTCATTCTAGCATTTCAATTGGAAAAAAATATAAGAGGTAAATCTCGACGCAATTTCGTTAAACCCTTTCTTAGAAACTTAAAAGTACAAAATTGTAACAAATTGGGTGGTTGCTTCCTCCGCCATGTTTGGTTTAAGGGGTGATTTTGTTTTTATCAAATAACTCGCTATTCTTTTAATTAACGTGAAAACTCACAAGAGCAAAGTTGTAGAGAATAAAATTAACTACAATTTATGTCCCATAAACTTTTTTGAAAAAACGAAATGTAAATCATACACAACGCGTTAAACGTCCGAGGTAGGGGGTTGAAAAACAGTTTTTTCACTTTTTCTATTTCTTTCAAAAGTAAGGGGGCATTACGTGAGGTTTTTAGGGGGAAGGGGGTCGAGCCAAACCTCTAGGGTTGCCAACCGTCCTATATTCAATAGGACAACCTTATATTTCACGCTTGTGTCCTATATTGTTCTATATGTCCTATATTGTCCTATATTTCATCAATTTGTCCTATATGTCCTATATCTCAAAAACTAGATTTGTAGAATTTGGGTATGCGTTTTTGAATACGCTTAGGAAAATTAAAAATAGAGTATACAAAAGCATTTTAAAACCATTAACATGTAGTGGTCAATTAATTTGGGCCACAAAATTCTCTAATTTAAACGTTACGTTAAAGCATTTTGAGGGTCAAATTCGTTGACCACGATATTTGAATGTTTTAAAATGATTTTTTGTTCTCAACTCTATTTCGCCAACTTTGTTATTTAACTCGCTTGATTTCCACAGCGACGATATTATACGGGTGTCCGGAAAAAGCCCCACCTACGCCATACGACACTCTAGGGTGTTTATTTTAAGTATAAAAAACTACTTTTTTCCGATGAGTAGTTTTCGATTTATTATGCATTTAAGTTTAAAAAACTCGACAACGCTGTTTTCCTAAGCCCATTTATGAGACATATAAAGGTGGTTATGGAAACAAAATTAATGCATTTACAGAGAGCTGAAATAATTTTTGAAGCAAACATCAGAAAATACATTTTTCAATCGTCAATTATCGACGATTGAAAAGTGTATTTTCTGATGTTTGCTTCAATAAATGTATCCTAACTTTGTTTTAATTATAAATAAGCCTTGGTTATAATATTTTGGTTGGTTAAAATATAGTTTTCGCAAGGTTTTTTTTGTTTTTATAGAATTATATTAAAAATTAAGCACATATTTTAATATAATTCTAGAATACGATTTGGAGTTAAAATTTCATCGATTTAGTCGCCGCGGCTAATGTTTTCTGTTCCGACAAACCGATTTTTGACATTTGGAATTAATGACGCCAACGGAGAACATTCGCCGCGGCGACTATATTTATACAAAGTGACTAGAAGTACACCGGGAGTACCGCTATTAAAAGTACACCGGGTGGAAAAAAATCCTTAGTTAGCATATTTGTCAATTGTATAATATTAAATGGTCGCTCAATTTCGCGCTCAATGGGGCGGGGGGCCCAATGGGGCGGGGTCGGTTGGGTTGGGTTGATGAGTTTGGGTTGGTTTGGGTAATTCATACTGACATTTCATTAATTTTGTTGTTAATTGTATTTCAATCACTTAATTAAATTTTAATCAATGTTTATACAACTTGAAAGTTAGCTTAATAATTACTATCAATAACAAAAAAAACTCATACAGCTATATTGTGGCTGTGTGAATAAAACTTTTCCGTCAATGTCAAGCTGACATCGAGCTTTGTCACATCCATTATGACTTTTTTAACAACATTTTCAACCAAACAATGCAGACGAACTCTGGCAAGCCATTGAAACCATTTGGAACGAGATAAAGCAAGACGGCGACTTCCATGCTTTGCCGTTTGCGGGCAGTAATTGACAAAAACAGAGGGATGACGAAATATTATATATTTTTTCAAACTTCAACCTAACTTTGTATTTAATTTTAGACCTTTCAAATGTGACGTATCGTGTTAAAAGCCATAATTACTCCGACGAAATGATAGAAAATCAGGAACACTAGATTTTTAAGCTGTATGAGTTTTTTTTGTTAGCGATAGTACATAATTAATATCAAGAGTTAACCAGCTCTTTACCAACTGTTATACAACTGGGCCTTAGTGTACCAATTTAATGTCAACTGATAAATCCGAAATTTTACCATCAGCTGTTATGGAAACACGCATGCGCACAAACCTGATGTACTTTTAATAGCGGTACTCCCGGTGTACTTCTAGTCACGGCGATATTTATAAATAAACCTATTATTTATAACTAAAAAGTTAAAGAATATACCCCTTATTATAAATAATTTTTAACTTTTTCTTTTTGACACGCGTTAACAAAATTGTTCTTTACCCTTTTATATAAATAAACAATCTTAAAATATTTATAATTTTTAAACCCTCATAACTAAAAAACGAAAAAAAAATTAAATTTATTTTATACTTAAAGTAACCCTCCTACA